CCCCTCCTTTCTCCATTACTCACTCCCCTCCTTTCTCCATTACTCACTCCCCTCCTTTCTCCATTACTCACTCCCCCCTTTCTTCATCACTCACTTGCCTCCTATCTCCATAACTCACTCCCCTCGCTTCACCATAACTTATCCAGCCACACACAAACCTTCTTTCATTTATCTGTTCATTCCTTTTCTCCCTTTCGCTGATTCAGTTTATTGATTGATGTTCTTACCTGGAGCCCACGAAAGTGCATAGATAACTCCTTCATTGCCTGGTGAGGTATAGACAGCAGTCAATGTGTTCACATCCCATACTTTAATTGTCCCATCAAATGATGCTGTCGCCAATAAATCAGCGCTATCTGGTTTAAATTTACAGTCAAATATAGTTTCCACATGCCCCTTTAATATGTCAAGAAAGTAGACAATTAAATCGAGATGTTCACAATGTCCATTTGAGATGCAATTATTTACAGCCCACAGGAATTGTACAAGTTATACATTACAGACATAGGTAACCTTGGTAACCAACTAGAATTTTAATCATCTTTATCACATATTCTTTAAAGGGTAGTGGTCTGTGCAGACCACGGTTACTAAAAAAAGGTTCTTTTTTTTAAGTAACCATGGTGCAGATCAAGTGCATTTGCTATGGGTCCCATACTACATGTAGCGATGTTTAAACATGCGAGTCAAATGTGCTGTTTATTCACACAAAATTTGAAACATGCAGACCTCGAAGACAATTGCCCTTGAACTGTGCACTGATGAATGATGAATATTAATTAAAGACAACTTTGCTACATTTAGCCATTACATTGTGGGCAATGTTACAAAGTACCTACAAATGTTAAACCCATTCACAGCCACTGTTAACCTTGTCACCTTACGCAAAATAATCCTAATTTTCATGAAAGCAGTATTTTCGTTAAAAATCAAAATGTGCGAAAAAAAGCTAATACAATAATTGTTTTCTTCATCCTTTAATGGAAAAGAAAATGTAATCACTATATTATATGACTATTCCATTATTTATCAGGAGTACAGCTATAGTGAACATGAGGGACTATCTTACCAGATCTCGGAGAAAGTTCCATTTCCTCTGCCCAGATC